TTTTTTTTTTTTAAAGTTGCTTATAATAGCACGACCTATATAAAGTTTAATATAAATACCACTAGTACTTGTAAAAAACGGGTGCATGAAAAAATAACTTGATAAAAAAAAAGTAATAGAGTTTAGTATTGGGGTATATATAAAATAAATAAATCGAAGAAATCTTATTAGAATATAGTGTTAGAATCTCGGTGCACATTCCATTGAAGAATTTAGATTGTGAAAAAATTTGTTACCATATATTCGTACAAAATTAGAAATATTGTTAACTCAAATATCAAATAAAAGAATATATAAAAAATTTATGTAGATATTGTGCTAGTTAACTCAATTAACAAATAAAAGAATATAAAAATTTAATTATCGGGTAAATAATTTTTTGCAACATGTACTAAGCGCGAATTTGGATTTTGCAACCTTAACAATATTTTGTACTAAAATTCAACCTTTAATACACGAATTTGCCTGTATCGCAACCTACGGCCATCTGCAGCTCGTTTTCCACCGGAAAAGCGAGCGTACGACTCGCACGCTCCAAGTTTGAGGGTAAATCTGTCTTTTTATGTAAGCGACCGTCGGAATCCCCCAAATATCACACACATTGTAATTTGAATTCACCAATTCGATTGATTGTAAAAATTAGGGTTCATCTGCGAAAAAAAAAAAAAACCTTTCTCTGCAAAATTTTCGTCCAAACACTTCGCAAATTCAAATTGATTGCAGTTGTTGTGATGGTCTGGAAAAAGCGAATCAGTGATGAAAACATACCACCAGGAAGACTTTGCCCAGATTACGGTTTGTACTTTTGTAACCCTAATTTTTAATTATTTCTGTTTTTCTGTTGAATTTGGCCGAATATTTTATGCTGTGAACATGTTTTTGTGATTATGTGGTCCCGTTTTGATTGTGGCGACAACTCTTTTGAATGCGGTGACAATCAGTTGATTATTCGAATATGAACATATGAATGTTGTCTGAAAATGTGGTCCCCTTTTCGAAATTGATAAATAAGTTTACTTTTTTATTGAATTTTTTTATTTAATGTTGATGTGAAGGGACCAGGATATAGATTTGTGTGTAATATTCTTGTCCCCTTCAGGTCCACGTTCACAACTTTTTACTATTTCAATATGGTGGACGATTTGTGGAACTTGGTGAGACATGCTACACTGGTAAGAACATGAGGGTAAGTCACATTGACTACTGTGACCCTGATGAACTCTCACTTATTGAAATATTTTGTATGACTTCTGAAGTTGGGGCAGAAAGTGTGAGGTGTGTGCATTGCAGTAAAAATGATGTTAATGATTGTCGATCTTTGTTTGTCTTGCAAAATGATTTGGATGCCATAAATCTTGTTAATTGGATTGATGATAATAGAATGGTTGGTTTATATGTTGAACATATGGAAGACTACATGAATAGTCAACCTTCTGATTGCTTGCCTTCTGTTGATGAACCATTGGATTATGTGGGGGATGATGGGGAGAATTTAGATGACTTTATTGATAATTGGAGTCATGAACAAAATCATGATGATGAGATGGGTGAAGCTGATAAGGGTGATTATGATTTGGGTGATTCTGACAGTGAGTTTGAAATCCAATCTTTTGGATCAGACTCTCAGTGTTCTGATGAGTTTGTTGAGAGTGATTGTGATTTGTATGATGAAGATGATAGGATGTTTGAGGGTTATGTAGATGCAGATATTGAATGGGCAGGGATAATTAAGGAGCAACCTGATAGGGCGAATTTTGCATGTAGTAAGGGTAAGCAGAGAACTAAAAATGGCCATCCAACTTTTGATCCTCAAAAAGACATGCAAAATCCACAGTTTGAATTGGGCATGAAATCTCCTGACCTGACCATGTTTAGAAAGGCAGTTAGGAATTTTGCAATTGCACAAGGTAGAGAAGTGTCTTTTACAATTAATTTGAGCTATAAGGTGCAAACAAGATGCAAAAATAAGTCATGTCCTTGGCTTATTTATGCATCCAAAGTTCAGGATGAAGACACTGTGCAAGTTAAGACATTCAATGGTAGGCATAAGTGTCCTAGAAACCAAAAGTGAGTCATGCTACTCCAAAATGGATAGCCGAAACTTACAAAAATAAGATATTAGATAATCCTAAATGGCCAGTAGAGGCAATGATGGCTGAGATGCAAAAGGAGGTAGGGACTGTTTTCAAAAGATGGCAAATGTATCAGGCTAAAAAATATGTTTCTTAGATTGGTGTAGGGTCTGATTGTGAGCAATATGCCATGCTTCGGTCTTATGCTGAAGAGATTAAAAATAACAACCCTGGGACTACTGTGAAAATTAAAAGCAAACTTTTTAATGGGGAGCCACTGTTTAAAAGAATTTATATTTGTTGGGGCCCTTTAAAAAGAGGATTTGTTGTAAGAAGGTGATATTCTTATATGGTTGCCATCTGTGGACAATAATGTCAGACAAACAGAAAGGGCTGGTAGATGCCATTGAAACTTTACTTCCAGATTCTGAGCATAGGTTCTGTGTCTAACACTTGTATGGAAACTTTAGGGCTTCATTTAGGGGATTAGCCCTGAAAAACTTGTTGTGGAGAGCAGCCAGGTCCACTAGGGTTGTTGACTTTAATGCTGCAATGAAAGAATTGGAAGGAAGGGACAAAGAAGGTTTTGAATGGTTGGCTAAGAAGTCAGCAAATCAGTGGTCAAGGTCACACTACAGTTGCAACAAAAAGTGTGATATGCAGCTGAATAATATGTCTGAGTCTTTTAACTCACTCATTCTGTGAGCAAGGAGTAAGCGTATTGTTTCTATGTTGGAAACAATAAGACTTATATTGATGAAGAGGACCTACATGAGAAGGGATCAAATGAGAAAACATTTGCATGGGAACTTGTGCCCAAAAATCATGAAGTTGTCGGAGGAATTGAAGAAGAAGTCAATGGGTTTTATTTGTCACTGGAATGGGGAAGACCAGTTTGAAGAGAGGGAAGCTCAGGGAGATTCAGAGTTCATATGGGGGAGAACTCATGCACATGTAGAAAGTGGGACCTCACAGGTACCCCTTGTGAGCATGCAATAAGTGGTATGTTCTTGTTGGGAACTCAAGCAGAGGATTATGTTGTTGACTAGTACCACAAAGAAACATTCTTGAAGGCTTATTCTGAGATGTTGGGCACTCTTCAACCTCCTGAATGGTGGCCAAATGTAGAAGCAATACCCTTAAAACCACCATCTATTGAGAGACTACCTGGAAGGCCAAAACAGAATGCTAGAAAGAAACAGCCCCATGAAGAGGTTTTGGCAGGAAAATCCAAAAAAATAGTTCAAGTGAGGCTCAGCAGGAAAGGGAGAATAATGTAATGTTCTCTCTGCAAGAAAGATACCCACAACATCAGAAGTTGTCCTTTAAAAACTGACAAGAGTGCACCATCTGAAGGACTTCCTATACCACCCTCTAATGAAGACAATTATGTGGTCAAGGTGAATGAAGTTGTTTTATTTACCTTTAAAAATTATGTGTTTTATTATAAATAATATTTTTTAGGATACATAAATTGCTTTTTATGAAGAGAAACAAGAGGAAAACAACTCAGAGAGAGAGAGTGAAAGAGAAGTACCAGCCCCTATTGATGATATTATTGTGGCTAAGGTAATGTTCTTTGTTATACAATTGTTGTTATTATTGGTGTGTTTAGTGTCTTTTCTTATTCTTTGCATACATTGTACATAATTTTTTTGTTTTTTGAAGGGAAAAAAGAGCAAACCAAGTGGAAGAGATAGTGAAGTGTCAGCCCCTATTGAGGACATTACTGTTGGCAAGGTAATTTTATGTGTTAAACAATTGTTATTGTTATTGATGTGTTTTATTGAGGAAGTGTATTCTGTAATTATTTGAAATTGCATACATTGTTTCTGAAGGGGAAAAGGAAAGAAATTGTGAGAGCAAGTGATACTCAAGAATCTGTTGCAATTACATAAACAAGGGTCACCAGAAGACAAGTCATGTCTGAGCATCAAATTGAGAAAGGCAAGTCCACAAGACCCACAAGAAGCCAGTCTGTATGGCCTAGTGGAGTTACAACACAACCTTTAAGACTCACAAGGCCCAAAGCTCCATCTGCATCTACACCTACTAAGAGAAAAGAGAGTCAGACTACAAAGGAGAGGCATGTGTCTGTTGTAACTTCACCCACAAGACTTACAAGAAGCCAAAGTTTATCTGCAACAACTACACCTACAAGGTTAACAAGAAGTCAGTCCAAAGGTCTTACACCTACCAAGGAGTTGGTGCCAAAAAGGACTCAAAAAATTCAGGCTAAGAGCAAGACATTGGGATTAAAAAGGAAACTAGAGGTACTAATAATACTCATTTTTTTGTGATTTTTTTACCTATGTGCTTCAACCTGTTGTAATGATATTATAATTGTATTAATAGGTGTCCAGTAAACAGAATCCATTAACTCAAGGTGCAAGCTTTTCAACAGCAAAAGGACTAGCTGTGAACAAACATGTGGTGAAATCTCAGCCTGAGGTATTGGGAACATATTGGGTTAGTAGTTGTGGGACAATAGTGGATAAGTAGTGTTTGGTTCTGATAGATGTGGTTGATTTTGGAACTGTAATGGTTGTGGTTGGTTTTGGATGTGGTTGACAAACTCAGATATAATGGTTGTTAGCTTTTGGATTTAATGGTTGGTTTTGGATATTTATGGTTAGTTTTTGAACTAGATTGGATGTGGTTTTGAACTCAGATACAATGGTTGTTAGTTTTTGGTTGTTGTTACTTTTTGGTTTTGACTGGGTGTTTTTGATGTTTTGTAAAAATTGATT